AATCCAGCTCTTGGAACACCCACAAAATCAGAATGGTTCATGCAATTCTCATAAAACTTGCCGGCTGGGTGGCGTGATTGGTTTGTCGCTGGCCATCCACATCTAAGGTTGCGGGTTCGACCCGGCCTAAGTCAGGGGATTTTCGTGATGCAGAAAATCGACAGTGGCCATGTCGTATGATTATATGGCATGTAAAAGATCCATTGAGTGCCTCTTTGGCTTGAGCCCAGGTTGTAATGCTTGTTGGTTCCTGCTTCCCTCTAATCCCCCTTGCCTACTATCGGACCCGGCTAGAAGTGTGGGAGGAACTGAATAATCAGTAGACATGATTCACTCTAAATATTTTATTGCCCCCAATATATCAAGCACGCACAATAATAATCTAATTAAGATAACTGATCAGATAGCAGAGCGCGAAGATGAGATTCGTTAGCCTGGGGATAATATTATGGACCTTCAAATGGTTCCACGATACAAGCTCAATATAAACTACGTCGCGCACTAATAAGCTAAACTTCCATTTAAACAAGGATCACGATACCTGTACTTTTATGAAGTTGAGTCCTTGAATGCAATCCTTATCCGGATTTAATCACCATCGAGTAATACTCTCGTCGGTGATAAAATTCAATTGATAAACTCCGATTTGCACTTAATAATTTCATGATCCTCCACTCACCAACTAACTTTCAAAACTCAGAATACAGAATTTATATAATATACTTAATTTGCATAATCGCGTTTCCTTGCTTCGGTGAAAGTTGGTTGGTAATATTATTGACCCAGAAAAGTCCCCAAGGGGTTAGTTATAGACGCGTATAGATCAGTCACAAGGTGATTTCCTCTAGGGAGGAAACTGGGCGTCAAAATTACCTGCGGCGATTGGTATCCATCTTTATGGTGCCACACTAAAAAAAGATACCAGGGGTTCCGGGGAATGTACTAGGTCTGCCATAGTAAAACTCCAATCCGCAGCCCATTAGAAATAAAAAAATTCTCATAAAAATTTACCTGCACACTCCTTTAAGTCTAAATAAATAGCCCTCTCTCTCTCTCTCTTTACCAATTTTTTTGTTAAAATTCTAATTTTAAAGGGTAGTGAAAGACAAAAGGTTAAGCTAAATTAAAGTTTTATAGAAATTTAGTTGCCACATTCTAATCGAGGAACCGTTTATAAACCGATGTTTCGTAGTATATAAGCTGTTGTAATGCACAATAAAAAGAAAGATGGCAATAATACTATCAGATAAATAGTGTGGCCACAGTAGCCTAGTGATCAAGGTAACGGACTCGTGGCTGACGTGTTATGAGTTCAAGCCCAGTACCACTGAAGACCCACCGTATAGGGAAGCGATGCATATTAAATCTGTTGAGAGCTCAAACGTCCTCCCGTTGGTGTGGTAGTTAGGAGAGGAAGGTGCCAGCTCAGGTATCGTCCTCGACACTTAACCATGGTTCAAAATTATGAGATCCGTAGCCAAAAGCCCTCGAGTAGCAGAATAGTGCGACGTTAATACAGATAAACAGCAATTCTAGAACTAGATGATATATGTAGTCAATTACTTATTGAGTTAGCAAAACTATACGGTATAAATATGGACAGTTTACGTCGGAGTCGGATATAGTTTTTAATAACCATCCTGGGACTTATTATAACTCAATTTTAGAGAGCTGTATCCGTCCAATTCCAGAAGTCCATCCAGTTCTGTGAATTCCGATTTGTAAAAGATTAATTATTTAGATTTGAGTATTCTTGTTGACCTTACTTTATAAGCTGGGAGATATATCAATAATTAAATATTTATTTGTGTTGTGATTACTTTTTAGTATCTGTATACAATGACTTTTACATCTACTCATTTGTCAAGTACGAGTCAAAAACCTCATGAATACGTAATCTTCAGAGTTAATTAGTCAATTTTAAGGGTACCGTTGCACCTTGACCATTGAATTTTTGTTTAAAAAAAGAAACCTCTCGAAGTTTCTAAGTACTGATGTGCCTCGTATATAGCATGGTACTTGTAAAACATAGTTTCGATATTACAAGGTACAAAATTTGAATTAATTTTTAATTGAATTCAACGAAATTTTTTTTTTGTTGAAGTAGAACTTTCAGTAGTACGTAGAGAAAAATTCAAAAGCGAATTGTAAATTTCTTTAGCTCCTTATAAAGAAATTCTGAAAGAATTACAAAATCGAGACAGACAGGTAGCTTTTATAATGAGGGAGAGATAACTAGTGAACTAAGGAGTTTGAACTAACTTCGGAAGAAAAAAAATTAATTAGCTGTAATTTTTATCTGTTGAGAGTGATGATGAAAATTAATTTTGTGATTCTCTCTAATAAGCCTTTTCTATTTATTTTGTTATACTAATAATTATTTTTGAATATATTTTTGCTGTATTTTTAATTTTGAATTTAATATTTTTTTGTTTTTGATTAAAAACTTGAAGTTAACTCATTTTTTCATTTGTATGCTTTATTGGAACGAAATTTCAGCTATCATAAAATTTTACACCATAAGACTTGATTTTGGTATAACACGGAACACATTGCCATGATTTATATTTTTTTAAAGTTTCATATAACACGGTTTTGATACAACACGGTACATTTTGTCCTGATTTATATAATGTACATACATAATTAATTTAATAAATAAATGAAGTAACAATTAAAATAAATATATCTCAAAGGTACAAAGTTCAGCATTACAAATGTATTATCTAAAAAACTCAGTGTAATTTTTTTATCAATCATCTTAGACAATTGCATTCATCGTAAAAGAAGATATTTGTGTTTTGGTTATGCTTTTGTGAATTTTATTGTACAATGACATCAATTATTGCAGACCCCAGATGGAAATACATGCATAAGTATAACTTAAGAAAATTAACATCAAAGACACAACAATAAAAACTAACTATTTGCACCATTAGACAAAACGCGATACACTCCAATTTGGACAAAAATGTGTAATATACTGCTTTTAAGTAATATAGCATAAATAAAAATGATTGATAAAGATGATGAGTTCTATTACAGGTTTGTAATAATATTTTCCGCCAAAAACAAGCCTCAAACGAGCTTCAAATTTGCTCAATAATTCAAATTTGTTCAAAGTCTTACTATGATATCATGTAGCTTTGCAAATGATGTCAATTTGATAAAAAAAAATGTGCTAGAAAATAGTTTGAACACAGTCCTCTTAAAAATTAGAAGAAACTAACATATAGTCACACTTGTATCTCTTAACATATCGGTTAGACATAAATAAAAGAAAGTCTCAAATGTAAAACAGGGTGGTACATGTATTCTCTCTCTCAAAAACAAATGTCAAATAATGAGATACAGAGCCTAAATGACTGTATAATTTGTTAAATATAATTTAACGAACATTTCCATAAGAGCTAATTATAAACATTGAGATCATTATTCAACGTCTGGCAAAACTTGTTGAATTTAACGCCGACAGATGGTGCCAAGTAAAGTCCACCTCATGGATCATCCTATCGTAAGTTAATAGAATTTGAAACCCTAGTTGAAGGACTAGTACATAAAATTGAAGCAAAATATTTTTAAATTCAGAAATATATATTGTTTCAAGGCAGGCATTAGAGAGAAAAGTATTTTGAGAGGTTAATCTGTAAGGGTAATATTTGCACAATATATGATTATAACCCCTTATATATTTTTTACTATTATTTTACGATATTTTATCAATTTGTGCAACTTCTCTCATTTGTGTTAATTAATTATTCATTTAAAACTGAATCAAGCCGTTAAACTGAACTTTTAGTTATAGCATTATTTTACAAATTTCCCAAGCAATAATTAGCTATATTTTTCATATTTATACAAATATAAATAATAAATAAACATCTATAATTAATTAGACTTCTAATCCAAGTCCGCGTTTTGTCTAGTATTAAATAATTAATACTACCTAAAATTTATAATTCATTGAAAATATGCAAAAATAAAATGTTATGTTTGCAAATAATTTTGAGCATTTTAATCAAAAAAATCTATTTGTGACATTCATAAAAAAAAATTTTTAGAATGTTATGTAAGGTACATGAAACATGAAATTTTGAAAATACTTTGCGCAATAGTAATTTGTTTAAAAAAAAAATACTATTTTTTCATTCGCACAGGAAAGAATTTAAGTCGGTCTATATATGTCAGCTTCTCAATGAAAGGTTTTATAAAATAGTTGTATATCTTCAGACTTTCGGAATAATTAATTTGGGCAACTATTATTATTGCCTTTTTTTGCATTTGTTAAGTTTAAAGATACCAAGACTTCTAAGCAAGAGAGAGAGTAATCTTATATCAACTTTTTTTTCAAACACTGGTTTTTAACTATGTAAGAATAAGCGCATTTAACTTAGCTGTTTTATAAACATCATTTACTTCCCTTTGCGCTGAGTACCCTCGACGCGGCATCTGTATTTAAAATGGTGGGGCTGATAAATTATGCAAATGCGCCTCATTAAATTTGTTAGGTCGAATGACACTAGATTTGATCACACCTTAAGCCCACATCTATGTCATTTGATAAGACGTGGTTCTAAGGGTTCATTTAATGATAAGAAATTGCACTTTGTTAATATAATAGAAAGAACGGGGCTTTCTCACTGCATTTTTCAAGTATTAAATTAATAATACTATTAATCTCTTACACTTTTATTTTTTAAACTAACAAGTAAAATAAAAAAAAATTAAGTCAATTCCTACTTAGGTGAACAAAGAAAACTTTTATTTTAGTTACTTTTTATTAAACAGTTGCAATTAATATAAACATGTTTATACATATGACAGAATCACAATATTAAGTGACAAAATGGAAAGCGATTTTCCTTGTAGTTTTCAATTTTCCTTCCTATGTATGGTGTTGGACTATTTTTTGTTTGCTTATTACTATTTATTCAGTAATTAAATTTAATTATTCTAATAAAATAGTATAGTAAGAAAAAATCACATACTCAGAAATTAGCCATCCCTAGTGGGATTCAAACCCATTACCCTTGGATTAGAAGTCCAACACGCTATCCAATGCGTTACAGCGAGACAACGAACGGTTTTCCTAATTATATATGCTGTTGAACTATTATTTTTGTGTTGTTACTATTTATTATTTTTTTAAATTTAATTAAGGAAAATACTTGAAAAAACTGTATTAACATCAAGTTTAAAAAAATGTATTTGAACTTGAATGTATTAATAGGAAGAATTTCATTAACGATTGAAAATTTGAACTCGAGATATATATGGGAAGAGAGTGAACTAATAGTAGGAATTTAAAAAGCATCTCGAAGTCGTATGTTCCCTAGATATCCTTGCTTCCAGAGAGAACTGTTGTGTGAACAAAGAGAGTCAAGTACAATCGACTCTCGATAGTTCGAAGTTGGTCGGACCAGTGAAAAACTTCGAATTATCAAGAGTAGGGGGGGGGAACCTCCCAAAATACTCAAAGATAATTTTTTTCTAATACATTTAAATTTGAAACTATGTAATGAAACAACAATTGTACATGTGTATAAAATTATTTAAAAGTAATTTTTAAAAAGTACATATAAATATTATACAGAAGTTAAAAGTCCTGTATATTAAAAGAATACATTCATACACAATCCTACACATCTCTTCTCAATTGTGGACCATCCTTTCTGAACACATGCGTTAGCAAGGCCACGTGTTTAGCGAAAGATATGGACGGCTGATAACAGGTGTGGTTGGTCTATTGTCCACTTGAAGAAGGAAAGCAATTAAAGTGCATTTTCGCCTGATGAACCGGAAAACACTAAGAAGGGGTAGCAGGCAGATAGTCATTAAAGGGCTACGATACAGGGGAGACACGCAGAGAAAAACATCACAAAACTTATAATCTCCAACCTGTTTGCTACAGGACTGTGAATGATAGTGAGTGTTCGAATTGTCGAGAGTTTTATAAGATCACTTCGAATTATTGCGTGTTGTAGTCAGGCCAGCCACAGATTTTACTTCGAATTATTGAGTGTACCCAAACGTATTATTTTAGTTCGAATTATCAAGAGTTTTTCAAGACACTGAGCATATACTTCGAATTATCGAGAGGTTCGTATTATCGAAAGTTTGAATTATCCGGAGTCGACTGTATATGCTAACACTTCTCAGCCCCCAAATAATAAGTCAAGTTTTTGCCTCCATTGCGACAATATAATTAAAGATGAGAAAAATAAGGCTTCAAACGATCTTGAAACTTGTGTAAGATAATACACGATAAAGAAGTCTCAGAAAATAAAATTCGATTACAGTTCCCTCAGGATCTACGTTAGATTCCCCCCCCCCTCGTTTTGACAGTTTATAAATCAGTTGTTATTTTCTTAGGAAAAAAAATAATCTTACCTTAATTCGTGAGAATAAATACAATTAGATATCATCATTTATCTGCGACTTGTCCCCCAAAATATCCATGAACAAATGATTCTAAAGAAAAGCACATTTGATGGGGAAAAAGGAACGTGTCTTATTTCACCGAGTTGTGCCCGAATCACTGCAGGAGGGATTTAAAAAAAGAGAAAAATTCTCCCCTCCTTGTTACTGCTATATTTTACTTCGCCAGGGGGGTAAAAGACGAAAACGACAAACTCAATCTGTGTAGTTCTCAGAAGGTCGAGGAAGGAATTGTTGTTAGTGAAGAGGTTGCCTCTCTTCGTGAACTTTGACCCTCTTTTGCCTTTAATAAACTTGTAAATGTATTGATGAAAAATACAGTCGAAAGATAAGATTCTCTCAGCTAGATTTGACTGTATAAATCTAAGAAATTTTTTTTTTAAAAGCTCAAAATAAAGTACGCTATTCCCCCCCCCCCCCCGTAAATATTAAGGTATCCGAACACGTTGAAAATGACCCAATGCAGTCAAGTCAGATATTTTTCTTTTTTATTTTATTGAATAGAGCTATCTTTTGACTTTACCCGAAACATACTTTGTTTGTTTGTACACTACCTAGAGGTCAAGGTGCAATCAATTTTATAAATTTAGAAAAACCGGAAGTGGGTTTTTGATCTATCAGAAGTGGGCATTTATAAATTGCTCAAAATCTATCAGGCGAGTCTGATAACTTAAAATATTACGAATGTATTTCTATAAAACTTTTGAACCTGATATTTATGTTATTTTCTAGAGAATGTACTAAAATATTTCTTATTGTATGAATACTTTTTGAGTTATGGTTTGTTCTTTAAATAATGGTCTCATAAAAAATGTAACATTTCTTATGATGTTTACTCAATCAGCTCTAAAATTTTCAAATTTTAATAAAAAATTAAAATTTTAGTACATTTTCTAGATAAATGCATCTAATTTGTTTTAGTAATACTTTTACTAATATATGTTTATTACATTTTTCTCTAACTGCTTTGAAGTTTTTCAAAAATATTGCTAAAATTTCACTTATAATTGTGATTTTTGTAAAATTCAGGTAATTTATTTTAAATTTTGATAGTTAAATATATAGTAATATTTATTGGTATTGAGTTAAATAGTAATATTTATTGGTATTTATAATGTTTTAGTACGCTATTTTGTTAAAAAGTACTCCGAACGTGTTCGGATACCTTAAATAATCGCCCTTTTCGAATTATGCCGTGTTAAAGCTGTTCCTCAACAGAATTCCAGCCGTCCTGAGTCATTTCCGGCTTTTCTTACTGCGTTCTTAAGTATCGCGACATTTATGGTTTTTCTTTTTCTTTTTTTTAGATCAAGTATCCATCATTTTTATTGACAAAATAGCTGATAAGTACAGAGCACAGTAGTGGCGGTGAGGTAAAATAGGAGCTTTTAATCAGGTTTCCGTGAGATTCGATGCGAAAAAGTATCGATTTAATCTGTGGCGTTTACAAGGGTTAGGTTTGGAGGCTCAAACCTTTTCCCATACATCAAGATTGTAAGGTTCTATGGACCCTGGATAATTCTTCGCACAGTAAAGCAAATAATCTCGGATTTACTTTTCTTGATTTTATAAAATTTATCATTGTATCATTTATCGCAAGGATGGCTAATCTTTTTGATAAGAGGGCCACTATTTGATTAAAAAAGCTATGCGTGTCACTTCTATTTTTTCCAACAAATATGGCAAGGTGAAAAAACGTTGCTTGTAGGCTTATTATGGGACTTTTAGCAAATGGAACATATTTTTTTATGCAAGTCTAAGTAGTGTAAATTTAAAAATAATTGTTCAAATTAAATATTTTTTAAACAAAATTTAATATATAAAGATTTTAAGCAAACTATGTTGTTTTAGGGGCATATCAATTCATTTGAATGTATTATATTCATGATATCAAGCATTTGTTCCCAAACATATTGATCCAAATCTACAATAATATTACATAGCCAAACCGGGTAAATTTGAAAAATTGCTGATTAGTACAAATTTTCAAAAATTCAATATAATGCGGATCACTTGCAGTTGAAATAAGTTCAATATTTATTTGCTTTCCAGTTTATTATGGTGCTGTAGGCCAATAATTTCCATTTAGATTTTAGGTTGGGTAGCATTTAACGTCTTGCAAAAAAACTGAAAAAGGATTTTTGAAAAGATTAGCATTTTTATATCATCTTGAAAGTTATCAAACCTTAAGCTGAATAAATCCTGCAGAATGGATAGTAAATTTTTAAATCTATTACAGCTGGAAGCACTATTAACTTTGATAGATAGTTCCTGCATTAATACGAATGTGTTAATAAACCTTTTTCTCATCAAAATCGAGAAAAAAGGAGGATAAATTAACTTATAAAAGAAAATGTGACCAACTGGAGTAGGAAAATACAATCTTTCACCTATAATCTTAAATTTAAATGATTTAAATGTCCTATAATATGTGTAAGAAAGGATAAATCCCATTCACAACTTACATTCTTCAGTAGCAAGCACTCGCTGCGTGGGTAGTTTATAGTTTTTTCCCAGATATTTTAAAACACACACACTCTCCTTCAAATTTCAAAATCTCTCGCGAGTGCATTCCTTTTGGAAAGCCAGCGCAAACAGCAATGAAAGAGGAAAATCTATATGAAAGTTTTCTATTGTAATTCAATTAAATATATTTAAGATATCCGACTACCCTAAAATTGTAAATTTTGCCAAAAACTGACAAAAAACTTTTATGATTTTATTTTATACGCCATCATATAATCTTTATAAAAATACCAAGTTTATCATTTTCCGTTCACTGGAACAAAAAGTACAAGTGTTTTAGTAGAAGCAGATGCCATTACTTTAACCAAGATCATTACTTTAAAACGCATTTTACTCGAAATGTGATTTTTTGAAAATAATCAAATGGTGTCAGCGATTGCTAAAAAATTTTTGAACATAATTAACTCAAATTTTTTCTGTAAGTTCTGAATAATAGTAGAATTGTTTTAACCTTCAGATTTTTCGATCACTGTTTTATTACAAAATTTACAGTCCCTTATGTGAATAGAATCACTGTTTTTTAAGCAATTTCATACAATAACTGAGATAAAGTGCTCTAGTTTTTGTAAAAAAGAAAATATCTCTTATCCTATAAGTCATTTCAAAAATGAATAATATAGCAACACATTAGATTGAAAAAAATGAAAATTTGTTTATAAACCTTTGGTACAGAATGGGCCGTGTTTATGCTATTTTTTGTCAATTTTTACCTATTTTTTCCCATTTTAGTAATAATAATTAATTTTTCTCTTCTTAATTTTAGCACATTTTTCTTAAAATGCACTAAACAAATCTAAAAATAACAACAAAAAAAATCCCCATATCTCCATTTTTTTAAAAAAAAAGTTATCGCAACCAGTCGGATACCTTAAAATAAATTTTGAATATCTTTTTTCCTCTATAAAACAACGCATTTCAATAAAATTATATACAAATATTGTTATTTAAAATTAAGTCTTCATTTTTCTAAAAAAAAATTTTACAAAGTCTTAGCGTGCCACTGTTACAACTCCGTCGTGCCAAACTGTGGCACGCATGCCCCCCCCCCGATTTATCGCATCATTTAAAACGTCATTTAATGCTTTTGGTATTCAAATTTCCACAAATATGG